CATTAGCAGGCGGCCCTCATGGTGTCTGAGAGTTTGCTGAGAAACAGAGCAAAGGAAGCTATCCCCAAAGCATAATTGGTGGCAGATCAATACATGACAGTTACAGGCAGGGCTGCAGAAGCAGAACAGGACCAGGACTGAGACATTCCCACCACATTACACCCAAGAGCTTGCAAGATTGGCAGAGGGCCTTCAGGATGTGGCTCATCACCATGTGACCCCAGCACTGTGCTCTCCATCAAGGGCACCCTCAGGCCAGATTTTTCTATTTACTTTACATCTTCAACAGGTACGTAAAGCATGCAAAATACCTGCATCATGACTTTCAAACGGTCAAAGGGGGCCGTGCACGTCCGGGAGACTGCACCAGCCATTCCTGCTGCCATCAACCTCCTCCACCAATCTCCAGACCGCTTCTCTTCTTCAGAAAAATCATCTGGAATAGTTACACTCTCCCCTATGTCAATTATCTAATACAGTGGGAGGCAGAGAGAACTGGTCAATAAAGGAAAATATAAACACTCAAAAACAAGTTAAAAGGACAGTATTTTACATAGACCAAGACTTTTTTTCATATCTTAACTCCTGCCAATGAAGACTGACAGTTTCCTGAGCATGTGTACTACACCAAATGATTTCAGTAACACAATCACATAATATCGATTTAATGTAAAACCAATAGAGTTACTTTATAATAAAGTTCTCAAAATCCTCAAACGGTCTAGACTAACCTCTTCTTCCCCACACCCAAAATGCAAACACTAATAGGGCTCATGGCCTTGTCACCCACCACTGTACCTGTGACATAATAAGCCTGTTGGCAGTGAGGTCATTCCAACTCACAGCAACCACAAGTGCTACAGAATGGAACAGTTCCATAGGGTACTCTTGGCTGCAATCTCCACAGAAGCAGATTGACAAGCTTTTCTTCTGCTGCACAGCTGGGTGGGTTTGAACCATTGACCATTAGGTTAATAAATGAATGATGAAGTAGTTAGTTTATTGTGCCAACCTGGCCAATAAACACATGTGCCGATAAACACATGTAGGGTTAATTGAAGGGCAGAGGGATAAATGGCTCGGTGAGCCTCACCTTTCTAGTTCTCGGGTCTCTTGGTTTCTGATGGCCTGAGGACCA